AAGAGCCTCCAGACTGGGCGCTGTGGGAATTCCCGACTTTGAACTGAGTACATTCCCGTTCGCTGCGCCGGTGCCCCCGGAGATTGTAGTGGCTAGGGTGCAGGCGGCCTTTGGAAGTCGCTGGCTATATATGTTTTGCAATTCCAGAAGCTTCAGTTTTTCCTGAAGGAGCAGAAGTGGATAGATAAGATTTTCCAGCTCATGAAACGTCAGCCGAAACTGTGAAATGTGTTTTTGATTCGAAAAAATACTGAAGTTGGTTTACAGGATTGATTTTCGTACAGGCCAATGCCAAGATATTTCAGTCACGTCGGGATGCTGGCTTATATACGAGCTTTTCTTTGATCACCTGCCAAGAGTATACGCCGTACAAATGGCCACTTAAGTGATATACATTTTGGTTGGTCAATTTGGTTGGTCTTCTTATTTAAAAGTATACTACAATTCTTTGCAGCTTAACCCACCCTCAACGTCCATCCTTGTCGGCATCAAACGAAAAGAAAAAAGATTTTTGGCAGTTTATAGTAGTACTGTGCATGCCACTGCGTAAGTAGTAGTTAACTAGTTCGACACCTATAGCAGAATACAAGAGTCTATGTACGTACGTATGTATGTAGGTCGCATCATATAGGCATAAGTGGGGAGAAAAATAATGCATAACATATTCAGCTATTATAATGCCTAGATTAAACAAAGATGAAAAAGAGTATGTGGTAAAAGTACAGATTTATTCTTTTGCGGATTAATTAGTGACTAATGCCTTTTAATTGATGGCTTTAGCAGAGAACTAAAATGACGTAAACCACGAATTTCCATGGGGTCGCAATACATACGCAGTTTAGTGCAATAATAGACTTTTAAGCCTGTTTATTTTACCTGGAGGATGAAAATGCGCACTTGTTCACAAATACTTGATTTTATCACGAATGGATGCGAATACACCTGTCCCAAGTGCTTGTTGTAAAGAAGACAAAGGCGCGGTCAGTGGGACAGAATTTGTATTAGCCTGAGCTTTCGGCTACGTACAGGAGGCTACCATAGCTGGACTAAAAACAAGTCAATGCTTGTTATTCTCTCACTTTCTCTGACGATGGCCTCCTGTACGAAGCCGAAAACTCAGGCCAATATAAGTGCCGTCTAGGTGATCGTGCTTTTGTCTGATTTATTTGGTGTTGTTATTATGTGTCGTCAAAGCAGGCGCAACAATACTCTTTTTTTGTATTTGTTTGATAAGAAAGTGCGCCTTTTTGAGTTTGTATGCCGAAGAAAGGATATCTTTCGGTTGTGAAAAAGTTTCTACGTATGAGATTTGTTAAGACAGTGTAAGATGTCCATTCATAATAGATCGTGTTTGTCAGTTTGCCTATAAAGTATACAACACGATCCACATCCATTCCAAAACGTTATAAAAACTATTTTGCCTCTTCCTCAATGCCTAAAGAAATGTATGAGATTCCTTAGACAGAATATATGTATATTTTGTATGCAGTTTGGAGACATTGAATTCAAGAGTAATGGCCGACAGGGTTTGCGATTATTCGACAACTAATAAAGTTTGCTAAATCTGAAAGACACTCCTTCTTCAAGTACAGCATTTAAAGGTATAATTTTGTACGAAACGAGTAAAAGTAAGACTGTTTCCGTTTATGATTTCTATAAAATATATTCGAATTTATAGGAGCATCGATAATCAATGTGGTGCGAGATGTTCATTCATAATAGATTATGTCCGTCAACTATCGAATATTGCTTATGAAGTATACAACACGATCCACATGCATTCCAAAATTTTATGAAGACTGTGTGGCTTCTTCTGCATAGCCTAGAAAAATGTGTGATTCAAGGGTAAAGACCGACAGGTTTTAAAATCATTTTGAAAGTTGTTCAAACAGAAGAAAACTTTTCCTCCAAGTAAGAAAATTAAAGAAGGTGTAAGCTCCTATGAAACGAGTATAATAAAAAATATTTTGGTGCATGTTTCCCATAAGATATGTTCAAATTTAGAAGGGTATCGAAAATCAAATCACCTTATTCTTGTTGGTTAACGTTAACCGATCGCTAATGGAACTCACTCGCCCACTCTGCCTTGGGACTCATTCTCGAACTCCGACAGCAGCCACACAGCAGGTGGGGCAATACCTGGGGTTGCCTATGACTGGCTGGTGACAATTAATGAACCATAAATGGTCATTCCAGTCTCCATTGGCTTTGCTGACAATGCTATCTGCCTAGACTACTAGGCGCTGTGCGCCGATGGTGGGGCTCGAGAATGCGCTCCGAGGACGCGAGTTCCGCTAGCGATCAGTGAACGTTAATCAACGAGTGTTAATATCTCTCGATCTTAACCGGCAACGAGTCCGTGGTTAGGGTTTTCGATTTCTGATCAAAAGTTCGCAGGTTCAAGCCTCGGGTGGGGCACCATTTGGGGTTGGGTATGACTGTATTCAGCCCATAAGTCAAACCCATATTTCCCGAAATTTACTACAGATTCACAACTTCCCATAAAAACATAGACTTAACAAGGCAAGTCATAGCATACAACAGCAGAAACTCACTTGAAGCTGTCTAGTTGTGTCCGCTAATTGGTTCTGCAGCTCAGAGATGATCCTGCGTAGCTTTCGAATCTGTTCGTTAGAGTTGTTCTGTTCGTATTTTTGATTGCGTTCCATAAGCTCTAGCTTGCGCTTTAGAGCCTTGAAGGGGAGAAAACGGAGATAGAAAAGACGTTATGGTAAGGGGCAGTATCCCACTCCAAGAAGAAAGTGTTGCATGCAGTCTGCTACGCACACTTCTGACAAGCACGGGCGACCGGAGGTTGATTAGCTGCTGGTCATTGGACAACTTGGAGACAACCAGTCGCCCACACAAGTTGTGCGTCCATGGTCTTTCGGTTGCGATCGGGACTGCAATTCCACTTGGTGGCTACTTTATAGTATGCCTACTGAAACGTGTTGAGTAGCCATGAGTACGCTGGTTCGCATTCTCTTGGACAGTTATGGACAGGGGTTTAAAGGCTTTGGTTGAAGAGTTTAGGATACGGTTGAGGTTAGGGCTAAGGGTTCCCGGACTAAAGAGTTAACTGAAAGCTAATCCACACTGCAAGCTACCACAGTGGTCTACGCGACTCCTCTGGTGAGAATAGTGTGACGGTCGCCCTCTTGCAACAAGCGAACCGTGCCGCGTCTACGCGTGTCACACACCTGACCTGCGCAAAGTGGACAGGTTTATACGGAGACAAAAAGGGACGACGAGTCAGATTCCAAATGAGTGGGAGTGCCATAGAGGCCACAGTAAGAAGGGGCCATCGCAGCCTTCTAAGCCATGGCATTTCGCGCACCGTGATCAACTCCAATGCGTCAGATAGTCCGCGCTGAAGACTATGCGCTGAATATCATGGAGGACAAAGAACCCAGAGTCGAACATACCTTTTCGGGCACCAGTTCACTGCGCAGACCGGTCAGACATTTGGCGCTGGGTTTGAGCACCCTGGTCGATATCGACATTTCGACTGTCGATTTCATCGATGTCCACCACGAGGTTCAACAACCTGAAGCAGCACGGTGACTTCTGCTGGATTATAGTAAAAGTAGACTCGCGAAGAATCTACCTCACTATCTAACCACGCCTACAGCAGACCTGATGTCAAGAAAAAAGGTCAAGAAGGGCAGAGATGGGGGAGGGCGCAAGTGGCTGGCGCGACCAACAATAAACGCGCGTGCCGACAGCACGCCTCGCTACTTAGGCTCCGACCTGGGAGCGCCATAAAGGCCACATTAAGGAGGAGCAATTGAGCCTGACCCTCAGCCCGCAGTTAGCCACTCCACACAACAAGATACACTGGGCCGACTGCGGT